CCATGAATATTTTTCTTGTTTTATTATCTCTGTGATATAGCTTTCCCCTTGTATTTTTCACAGGTATGCGCTGCCTTCCAGAACTCCTCCGTGTTCCGGCTAAAGAAAACATGGGAGAAAGTGTCTAAAACGGTGAGTATGAGAGAAAGGGTGAGAGAGGGTCATGTGAATGCAGTGGCGTGCAAAGACTTTCAAATGGACAACGGTTCAGTTGAAAAAAGGGGCACACCCCTCACTAAAGGGGCACTTAGCTATATACGAAAAGGGCGCTCTTGATTTAAAGAAGAAAAAGAACAGTTGCTAGTTTCACAGTGATTCTTGCAACATTGCGAAGGACATCTTACCGCTTTGCTGTATTAATTCGGATTAGTTCATAAATGCAGTTGTGTATAGTAATTCTGGCCTGAATGGAGATGCTTACCTTTTTTTACGTATCACAAATTATGTTAAGCAAACCGTATCAGTTTGATGCAATTCATAAATGCACTAGATTCCAAACTACCCTGGTAAACCTCTTTTCCTACTTTACCATATCCTCCACTCCTCACAGACACGCCAGACTCTCGAGAAGCTCCAGGCCCTCGTCTCCTCCGACGGCAGGTTCCGTAGTCTCCGCGACGCCCTCCACAGGTGCGACCCGCCTTGCATCCCTTACCTAGGCATGTACCTCACCGACCTCTCCTTCATCGAGGAGGGCACGCCGAACTTTACAGAAGATACGCTACTCAATTTCTCCAAGATGCGAATGGTGAGGAAAATGTAATGGTGGTGGTATTTCTAATTCCGGGCAAGATCTACAAAAGTTTATACTTAATGTTTCAAGCAAATATTAATGCAATTCCAAAATCGGTCGATTTTCCGTGTCGTGATAATACTTACCGTATAATATTCCCTTGTAGTTATTTCATCGTTTCTTGTCTGTCCTTTTTTCACAGATGTTCCCGATTATTTACATGTAACTAGCAGCATTTTCATTGGCAGGAAACTCCATTGTGCACAAAAGAGATTTACTGTATTCCACGGCGTCCTCACCATCCCTTCCTCCCTGCAGATCGCCCACGTGATTCGCGAGATCCGTCATTTCCAGCAGACGCCTTACAAGATCGAGCACAACCCACGCGTCACCGCCTACCTGCTGGACCCGAGCCTGCTCCTCAGCGACGACAACCTGTACCGGATGTCCCTCGAGCTGGAGCCCCGACGGTCAACCCTGACCCACGTCAACGCGCCCCTCCTCACCACCGCCACTTCCTCCGGCTCGTCGTCGAGTTCTTCCTCCTGACAGCGGCGGCGGACGGCAGGGGAGATCTGGGTGAGCCTATGAGGTCCGCCCCCCTGCAGCCGCATAGCCGACCAGGGGGGGAATAGTAGGTCTTTCGCTGCTCTAAATCTCTTGGGACGCCTCGAATGGCGCGTCCTTGCAGCCACGACTACGGCGGAAGGCGGTGGCAGCAGCGACCACCGTAACAAACGATTGTGACGACATCCACTCATGACCTTAACTATGATGATACTACACGGAGACGTGGCGGCGGGTGGTGATTCTTTGGATCTCTATAATCATCAGTCTCTCCTTGTACACATTTAACCTGACTTCCATGCAGTGACCAAAGGGAAAATAGTTTTCGTCTATGATGGCGAAAAATAATAATGGCATTTTCCCTTTGTAGTTACCTTGCTGGGAAAGGTTCTAATAGCATTTGAGAATTTTTCAATGGGCTTTTGATTATTTCATATCAACGACAGATTGTTATTATTGCATTATCCTCGGACTTCACCGAAGATCTATTCACAATCACTTTGTAAGAGATTCTTATGGTCATACCTCGAAGATTTTTCACAAGATATTCACCCACAGCATCACGTCTGCGTCTCAACATAACCCCTATCAAGACCACACCATGACTCAAGCTTTCCGAATCATTCAATAATTACCAAGTCATTCTGTCTTAGTGGAAGGAGCGACGAGATTCCTTGGCAGAATGTCGAGCTGTAGTATCCACGCATCTCCCCACTATCGTTTTCGCATCCATCTGGACGTCTACCAGATAATCAGCACGAGGTAGCGTGGGACGACTTATTTCTACAGGATTTCAGGTTGTCATTCTACTACGATGACGTCCTCAGAACTCCAGACACTAGTTAAGCAGTGTTGCCACAAGGAGCTGTACAGTGAAATTGCTGCTGACCCAATAATGTCGTGAGGCCAAAGACCAAGATTACGGTGTCTAGTTATGCCGTATTCTATTACTCTCTGATTCGCTACGGTGTGTTATTTTTCATCCTCTCTAATGTTGGTGTAAGTAGTTGCTGGGGATGTGAAGTCATCACGAGCCTCTGAAGACACTCGCGAAGGTCAAAGAAATGTCCAACCTCTTCTTCGTATTGCCACTCGACGTTCAGTATCCTTTCGAGATCGACCCGTTGCTTTTGGCGTTTTTTAAAGCCATGGATGATGCTGCGTTGGGCCATTCTCAGATTCATGTCCTCCTGTAGGTTT